AAACTGAAGCAAACATCTTTACTGTGAACTAAATTTACTGTGTATCTTCATTCCTTTTGCTATGCTTTTTCTTTGATTTTTCCTACTGGCAAGTTAGAATTTCCAAGGAGAAAGCGAACGCACCATTAGCTGATAACAATGGTGGCAATGGAAGCTAACATATCAAGCTAACGTAATCTTAAACAGTTTATTTAGCTGCTGGAGCAGATTAAAACGATGATGCCTCACACTTAGATCGTTGTCGCTGGTTTCATCTTCACCCAATCACCCGTCGCGTTCAGTAAAGTGAAGCCAAACGTTAGAGCATGTTCATGCTCTTCTAGTTGGAAATTTGGAGTTCCGAGGAGAAAGCGAACGCACCATTAGCGAAATGGAAGCTAACATATCAAGCTAACGTTATCTTAAACATTTTATTTACCTACCGGAGCAGATTAAGATGAGGATGTCTCTCTTAGATCGTTGTCGCTGGTTTCATCATCACCCAGTTACCCATCACATTTAGTGAAGTGGACCCAAGCTTTAGCCTGCGTTCTTTCTACCATGCTGCTCTGTTTACAACTCGCTCGCAGCGACCGACGACATAACGCTCTTGCGCATGCGCAGCTGTCTAGGCAAGTTCTCGTTATGAAGGACGGGTACCGAAACGAGGCACCGTTTCAAATGACGTGAATCGGTGCTCAGTTGGTACAATGGAATTCGGTCGGTACCTTAAAAAGTACCGAATTCGGTAGTGGAGCACATTCTTTGTCTTTATTTGAACATGCACAGCGTCTTGAACATGGTCTGGGTCATCCTGCTGACCGTTACCTTGGGCAGGTCCTACAATGATCGCTTAAAAAACGTAATCGAGTACTGCAACCTGGAAGTATTCAGTCAAACCTGGGTCCGTGGCATGAACCCAGAACCGAGTCTGTTTAGCTTCGGTGACCCAGAAAGTGGAGATTTGTGAGGCGAGTTTGAGAGATTTGGAAAAGAAAACAAATTACAGATTGAATAATAATAATCTGTCATGATAAATTTGCATACACCATGTCCTCATATTTGGACCTGGAGCCTCTTTCCTCAATCAGGATCCAATCAACCTCTTCATGAGAATGTTTTGTGTCGTATGATGAAGGCTTGCTCCTTTTCCAAACCTTAGCTCTGTGAAAAACGACGGCAGACCTACTTTTTTCCTCAGACGTGGACCGATTTGCTCCAGCCTGAATAAACTCTGGCAGGATCATTGTAGGTTTCAGCTCGTCGTGTGTTTCCAGCTGGTTTTGTTCACCACAGCTGCTTTTATACTTTCATACGTTTGACGAGAACAGAGGTGACACGAGACCAAAGCCCTGTTATAGAACAGCTAATTTTAGCTTAAAACACAAGTCTGGTTACACGTTTAAACTCAGTGACAAGAGAAGAAGAACATCAGCTGTGTGGACAACAGGACGGGACGGGACGAGCTGCTGCTCCGACTGTCCTAGGAGCTCAAATGTTTTCAGTTTGAAGGACTGAAATGTTTCTGTTTGGGGAGCCGTGAACATGTTTACCTAATATATTATGCTGCTGTCTGTATGAGGACAGGAAGCGTCTTTACTGGTGTTTGTCTGCTGTGTCCATCAGGCTGTTTGATGTTGGAGGTCAAAGGTCGGAGAGGAAGAAATGGATCCACTGTTTTGAGGATGTGACGGCCATTATTTTCTGTGTGGCGCTGAGTGGGTACGACCAGGTCCTTCATGAGGACGAGACCACGGTAAGAGCCCCCCCCCCTTCTGGACCTGGTTTACTTTGGGACCAGCTGTGGTCCAGAACCAGTCAATACAGAGAAACGGACCAGATCCAGAAGCAGCATAATGAAGATTAAATCTCTGAGGACCAACATTTAAAGCTAAAGTCCCACCAGTGTGTGTGACATTTGTTCTCCGCACCTGACCCATCCCCGTGGGGAGCGGTGAGCTGCAGCGGTGGCTGCGCTCGGGAACTATCTGGTGGTTTAACCCCCCCAATCCAACCCCTTAAAGCTGAGTGTCAAGCTGGGAGGCGTTGGGTCCCCTTGTTCAGGTTTGATCCGACCGGGATTTGAATCCCGATCTCCCGGTCCCAGGGGGACACTACCACTGAGCTGTTCATATAAATCATTTATTAAATGCATAAACAAACTGAAACAATATGACATCACTTCCTGCTCTCTAAAGGCCACACCCCCTTTTGGGTTTTAGTTAGATCCTTAAATTTCCAGGTTTAATGAACTCAAAGGGGTTTGTCCCATGGGCGGGACGCTGGAATGCCAACGGGTTGAAGCTAAATCTGAGACGTAGGCAGGCCTCTACAAATAACCCCGCCCCCTGAGAATTCTAACCGAAGGAATACGTTTTTGTGATTGGTTATTTTTGAGCTGGCTAGTCCCGCCCCTCATGTGCCTCTCTGCCTTTGAGGAACCAGACTCGTTCTCTGTGTGACAGAGGACGAGTCTGGCAGGCCAGGCATGAGAGTCTGCGCTGGGACCGGGAGATCGGGGTTTAAATCCCGGTCAGGTCAGACCAAAGACCTGAACTATGGGACCCAACGCCTCCCTGCTTGACACTCAGCTTTAGGTGGTTGGATTGTGGAGTGAAACCACCAGATGGTCCCCGAGTGCAGCCACAGCTGCAGCTCACCACCCCACAGGGATGGGTCGCATGTGGAGACCAGTGTGTGACGACTAATGGGACATTAACTTAATGTCTGAAAGTGGGATTATAATCTGACCTCCCACTAAATGTTTGTGGAAATGCTGCAAACGGCACGGATTTAAGTCCTAATGAGTCTGAACATGAATATATTTCAGAAAACATATAATTCATTCAACTTTATTTCTAAAGCGCCAAATCAGGACCAGAGTCGTCTCGAGGACCTTCACACAGTAAACATTCCAATACGGGTCAGGTCATCAAGCCAATCAGTAAACAGTTTCCTATATAAGGAACCCAGCAGGTCGCATCGAGTCACTGACTAGTGTCAGAGTCTTTACATACAAAGCAAGCATGCAGCGGCATCAGGTTGTAGGTTTCAGGTAAAACACAGGTAGACTGGGATGTTGGTGCTTTAAGAACACAACCAACTCCGAAATCCAAAAATTCCAGGGAGGGAACTGTTCAGTAGCTGCTGTGATGTCACGAGCATCACCGCTAGCTGGAGAAACACGGGCGACGTTTACCTGTCTGCCAGGTCAGGGAGGCTTTTACAACTGATAAACTCACTCACCTGCAGCGAATGATCCGTCGGCATCGAGCGGCGTTCCAGGTACGTTTACACGCTATCGTATAAACCTGCTACAAGAGGTTAAACAAGCAGGAGGAGAAACCTCACCAGCTTTTCTATTTCCTGGTTGTTTCATCTCTGTGGAAGTCTTCAGTCCCGGGTTTCCTGACAGCAGTAATATTCCACAGCTGGACAGGACAGAACCAGGAACCCAGTAATGGGACAGAAGGAACCTTTGCTGCGGTTCTGATCAGAAATGTGCCTGTAGGTCTAACGCACTCTCCATGCCGGACGGCCCTGAGCCTCTGACTGGTCTTCAACAGGTGGACCAGTCGACTCTGACCCGGAACCAGTTCTAGACTCTTTGGTACCGACAGCCTTCTTATCAAAACCCTCCAAATGCTTGGCTTTGTTTTGTTGTTTGAAGACTCGGAACTGTGACCGGAGCTGATTTCAGCACCAGAACCACAAGTTTTATGAGAGAAGTGAAATAATCGTGTTCGTGTCTGAGGAGATCATCTCCTCTGCTGCTGGAAAACATTCACCTGGAAAGTCCTTCAATGGGATGGAAGCATCTCCTTAACCAATCAGCTGAGAGACGATGGACCTGTCGGGTCCTGGTCTCCTCACTCGTGTAGGCGCACATGTACTGGGTTGTGTTCTGCTTCCTCTGTACCACACACACACACACACACACACACACACACACACACACACACACACACACACACCCACACCCACACACACACACACTCTCTCTCTCTCTCTCTCTCTCTCACTCTCTCTCTCTTACACACAACACACACATGAATGCACACACACACACACACACACACACACACACTCTCTCTCTCTCTCACTCTCACTCTATCTCTCTCTCTCTCTTACACATAACACACACATGAATGCACACACACACACACACACACACACACACACACACACACACACACACACTCTCTCTCTCTCTCTCTCTCTTTCTCTCTCTCTCTCTTACACACACACACACACACACACACTCTCTCTCTCTCTCTCTCTCTCTCTCTCACTCTCTCTCTCTTACACACAACACACACATGAATGCACACACACACACACACACTCTCTCTCTCACTCTCACTCTATCTCTCTCTCTCTCTTACACATAACACACACATGAATGCACACACACACACACACACACACACACTCTCTCTCTCTCTCTCTTACACACACAAACACACACACACACACACACACTCTCTCTCTCTCTCTCTCTCTCTCTCTCTCTCTCTCTCTCTCTCTCTCTCTCTCGTTATACTATTCTGTGAACACCTTTCCAGCACCAGGTGTGTGTTGGTGCATTTTATCTGGGATGAGTGGACTGGGATTGGTATTGGCGCTGTGCGGGCGGATCCCTTTGCTGTTCCTGCTCTAAGCTCCACCCTGCAGATCTCAGGCTCCCTCTACTCTGCTGTCACTCTCGCCATCGACTGTCCTCTCTAACCAATCAGCAGTCAGAACTCCTGCAGATGCTCCGCCTACAGGCAGGTAGGAAACCCTTTGAATAGGAGCTGAAAGCAGTCCCTGTCTGTGTCCTCCTGTCCACTCTCCCCTTCTTCCTGATGGAGTTTATTAGATGAGTTAAAGCTCCTCTCTTCCTGCTTTTCCTTCCATGTGACGGCGACTCGCCCACACCTGAGCTCGTTTACATCTGTCTCTTCCCTCTAATCTGACTTGATGAGCTTGATCAGTCCCTCCCCCCCCCCACCTCCCCTCTGATGAGGCGGACAAGAACCAGAAAGAAACTGCTTTCAGCTCCTTGTTTGAACAGATCTATTTTCCTTAATCAGGAGCTCGTTATCCTGTGCTGACGCATCCATGACCATCTATAATCAATAACATGAGAAGTGTCTGACGAGCTAAAACCCAGTCATGCTGGATGTGTTTGTGTAGTTATGATTATTTGATTAAATCTGTTTAGCTTTGATGGAGTTTTTATCCCACGCATCACCGGCCGTGGTGTCTCCGGCTTTAGGACTTCCTGATGATTGAATCTAAACAACACGATAAAACATGACGTTTGGTGATCAGAGTCAAACACGTCTAAGTTCCTGTGTTGGTTACAAAGCGGCTCCCAGTTCCACCAGTAAACAGGTTAACTAGTCACAGTGGAACAGATTCATCTGTAGCTGTAGCTGTAGATGTCCAGGATTGTCTTCAGAGATGGGGATGACTCTACAGCGCCCCCTAGAGTCAGAGAGCTCCACAAGGTCTGGTTAGCAGCGTAGCGTGGGCGATGTGGAGCAGACAGGCGCTCACTGCTAACAGCATGCATGGCTTGGTTAAACTCACCAGCATGACCTCTAACTCGCCCCGTGAAACCCAACAGAACCTCTGAAGAGGAACTCCTCCCAACTTCTGTTCTGTTTTCTGGGTTTTAGTTCCTCCCCCCGTTGGGACGACGTGGCTGGAGTCTGTGCTTTTATTCTGCAGCTTTTGAATGAGTGTTAGATTGATCCGACCCGTCTGACCCGCACCAACCTCTCTCCTACAGAACCGGATGCACGAGTCTCTAAAGCTCTTTGACTCCATTTGCAACAACAACTGGTTTAAGGACACGGCCATCATCCTCTTCCTCAACAAGAAGGACCTGTTTGAAAAGAGGATCATCAAGTCTCCACTGACCATCTGCTTCCCAGAATACACCGGTACATCCAGCATACTGTAGCCCCGCCTCCACACACACACACACACACACACACCGAGTCACCAGTCAGAGCAGAGCGTGAACGTGTAATAAATGCTGCTGTCTGAGGGGCAGCAGGTCGTTTCCTGTTCCAAACACCTCCTCCTCACCACGGGGTGATGGTGATGATGATGATGATGATGAAGTCTCCTCCAGAACTTACCTTCTTTAGTCTCCAGTGTGGAAGTTTCTCTCAGGCGTTTTGTTCACGTGGAACAGTTAGCTAATGCTAACGCTAGTGCACCTTCTCTCTGATCGGATCGGAGCTGGCCTTCACATTTATTCCCATCCCTACCTCCTGTTGCCTAGCAACCATGGCGGCACTAAGCAGCACTGCGCGCAGAAGCATCACGGGACTCGTCATATGAGCTGGTTTACGAGGATTTTTCCTAATATAACCAACAAAACCACCTCAATTTAAATGTTAGCACCAGATATTAGATTAACTGACATCTAAAGGGTAATCATCTCCTGCTTCATCCAACAGAACACAAATCTCTCATTTGGCCTGCAATGAATTCTGGGATATGGTGGGCCAGAAAGGAAACTCCAGACCTGTCTTTGAAATTCAGGGAAAATAAGGAAGTGTTGCTAGCAGCCTTTGAAGTTGACATCCTTGTGTTAGAGTAAATGTGTGACTGCTGCAGAGGACCTCTTCCCCTCAGCTCACCCTGGGAGCCATACGGCCGTGAAGCAGTCCCTAACAGGATTCAGGCTTGATGCCAAACGGAATAAATTATTCTGGATTATTGTCTCCACTTCCAGAATTCCAGTTTCTAAAGCACCTGCACGTTCCGAGTGCGTCTGAGTGTTTTACGCTAAATCAGGTTAAAAGTTTCACCTCAGCTGAGCTGCTGTCGGCTCTGTGTGAGGCAGGAGGAGGACGGGAAGGTAAAATAAACCAGAGCGGTGCTGCAGGGTGGGGGAAACGAGACGGAACAACACGGCTCAGCCGGAGAAACAACAGAAGTGGGAACGCCAGCGAGAGCCGGAGTGTGAGAAACAGACTGTGGGAAAGTCGGGAGAAAGGAGCCCAAACGGCAGGACTGTGAGAAAGGGAGGATTAAAATTCCAAAGCCGTTTCTTCTCCCCTCCATGTCCTTTTTCACGGCCGGGTTCTGATGAAGTTCTGACAGGCAGCGCTGCTAATGGCCCACAGCCATGGGGACGGGACCAGAAACCGGTCCGGTCCCTGACTAGAACAGATCTGAGCGCTGAAGCAGAACGCCGTCTAAGAGCAGATTATGGGATGTGGATCTGACCCATCAGAACCCTGATGTAACAATAAGAGTCAGGAACCGGCCGACCGCAGCCCGGTTCTGTTGGGGAAAAGCTGCTCAGGCGTCAAATACCTGAGAACGCGGCTCAGCAGAAAGTTTGCTGAGCTGGAGGGTCAAAGGTCACATTTTCAGAGAATATCACACAGCAGCGCTGGTGCAGGCGGGCTCCTAACGTCTACCTCGTCTTCTCTCCCAAATGCAGGTTCTGATACCTACCAGGAGGGCGTGGCCTACATCAAGTCACAGTACGAGAGCAGGGACAAGTCGCCCAGCAAGGAGGTGTACGCCCACGTGACCTGCGCCACCGACACCAGCAACATCCAGTTTGTCTTTGATTCTGTCACCGATGTGATCATAGCACACAACCTGCGGGGCTGCGGCTTCTACTGATGCTGCTGATCACCTGCCGGTTACCTGTGTGTGAGACCCAGGGCGATGATGTCATTGTGAGCCTCTCAGTAGAGCTGTCCACCTCCACCTAATGGCCAGCTTGGCTGATTGGTTTGGAGGTCCTCTAAGGTTTTTGTTTTGATGCTCCTGTGAGAGGCTGCATTCCATTTCCGCTGAAAACACACAGATTCTGGTTTTGAGGCCCAATACTGATTTCTGATTTCTGTCAACGGTGCATTCAGGGACACGTCAGATCAGCCAAATATGGGCCGATCCCGCTCGCCAGCCAGGTGTTGTGAGTATCCCTCACCTGGACCTGTCCAGGCTGCACTCTTTGGAGTTGAGTTTGATCCTTGAGGGATTTTCCAAAGGGAACGTTTTTGAGTTTCAAGGTCTCACATGAGGCGGCATTGGGGAGGAAGTTCCTTTAGAACGAATAAGGCCTAGCATCGAAGGTCCCTGCATGTCGTGGAGGACAGAGACCTTCACCAGCAGGGCGGCGGAGACGCCGGGACTAAAACGAGGCGTCAAACCGCTTTTATTACATTTCTCCTTCCTGCTGCTCGGCGTCAAATTTAAAAAGCAGCTCTGATTATATGCTGGTGCCAACATGCAGGCTAAGATCCTCATTCTGGACTCCTGATAGGCGTGAGAGCAGCCATGTTGTCTGGTTCAGAGACCGTGTCCATGAGGACAAGACAGGAGACGGAGCTAGATGTTCTCTTTGGGTGATGAGGATGGATCAGGGATAAGTCCATCAGAGGGACAGCTCATGTTAGATTCAGCGAGGACAGACTGAGGTGGTTTGGACATGTCCAGAGGAGAGACAATGATGACATAAGTAGAAGGATGCTGAGGCAGGGGGCTGAGAGGAAGACCAACAAGCTGAAAGAAGACATGAAGTTAGTTGGTGTGAGGGTGGAGGACACAGGAAGCAGGGCTGAATGGAGACAGGTGATTGGCTCTGGAGACACCTGAAGGGACAAGCCCAAAGAGAAGATGACTCCTAATGGGATAAAAAGAGTTATTATGCAACTTAAAGCAGAAATCAGGAGTTGTTTTCCTCAAAGGTCACCACCTAGAGGCAGACAACTGTACTGCACCTTTAAGCCCCTCCCCATGCTTCTGATGCGGCAACGCCTCTCGCTCCTGATCGTGCACCTCTACACGTATTATTCTCACCTTTTGATGTTTTTCATTCACGTTTAAATGTATTTAAGACTTCTCCGTGCCGCCGTCTCTGCATCTGTTCTACATTCCAGTGGAGCACGGGGATCCTCCCAGCGCTGGTCCAACGTAAAGTCCGTTCTTTCAGGTGTTTTTGAGCTTTTCTTTACGCTCGCCTGTCTTCTAGTAGAAGCAGATGGTTGTGAAATCGGTATTGTTGTTGGCGGTTGTCTCGTTGCAGCTTAGTAAACAGCTTTGAAGCGACGCGCAGTCTAGGTGCGTCTGTAACCGCGCACGCATGCACAAGCGTGTCAGCCAGTGCTGTGCAGCACGTATTTCAGATGTGGTGGAGCTCTACGGGACAGGGGCGGGCTTAGCAGGTCAGACCGTCGCGTTCATGGATTTCTAAAGTAAACCCAACTTAGTTCCTGAAAAGGGAAATTTTTGTTGCTTCAGCCGAAACAATAAAAGGATCCAAAACTGCTCACGATGAGCAGGTATAGAAGAGGAAACGCGTCGTGTCACATGTCCAGCTGAAGGGTCGCTTCGGTCCTCCGAGTCACCGCGGCCCAGCGGGTTTCTGGCTTTTAGGCCTCGGCTGCTTCCTCAACTTTGATCTCATTGTCTTCCATACCTGGTGGTGCTGCTGAGGAAGTCTGCGGATGCCAAAGTAAAAGTCTTTGTCATGTCTGAACTAAACAACCCGACAGCATTTTTCTCTCCATCCTGAGATTCTGCTGCGTTGTGTGAAAGTGAAGCCAGAGTCAAAAGAAGCCATGTTGAAATGTTTAAAGGGGCATTATGGAAGTTTGACAGCCAAAACATGTATAGAAATAATAAATGTCTTCTTCATTCATTCTCCTGCAATGCCCTGGTCCTGTAGAATGAGCCCTGGCATTTTTACTGTGATTGCCTGTTTTTCTGTAAAATCACAGAAAAAGGGAGATGCTCGGGCCGAGCAGGCTGCTTCATGCGCGTTCACGCTCACGCATCGCCCTCCGAACCATTCTTTGAACGTTATTTCAGCTGTCATCAAGGATATAAACGTTACAGATGCAGAAGATGCCACTGGTGATTTAGCTCGCCTAGTAAAGTTTTGGGCTTTCGTGATGAAGACCCGGCTTCGATTCTCGACATGAACGTGGCTGATTCAGAATTTTGTTTTTACATTAATGGTATATTTTTTTACAGTAAGATGCCCAAATTTTTATTTGAGACTCGCCGAGTGGCATTGAATTCACAGATAAAAAAGATGTGGGTTCAACTTTCATTTTGGAACAATTTTTCAAGCAAGGGAAGGGAATGATCTGAGCATGCAGGAGGACTGACCCATCATAAACCTTTGTCGCTGTGCTGAAGAGAAAGGTACAGAACCAAATTATTTCATTAATTAGCTGCACGTTCTCCTGTCCTCTGTCCTCCGGGCCACACACACACACACACACACATGCACACGCACACGCACACACACACACACACGCACACACACACACACACTCACACACACACACTCACACACACACACACACACACATGCACACACACACGCACACGCACACACACACACACGCACACACACTCACACACACACACACACACGCACACACACTCACACACACACATGCGCGCACACGCACGCGCACACGCACACGCACACGCACACACACACACACACACACACACACACACGCGCACACACACACACGCGCACACACACACACACACGCACACACACACACACACGCACACGCACACAAGGGACTGTCAGCTCTCAGAGCTCTGTGAAGCTGACCTCGTCTCAGCTGTTATTTTCGTTAAGGAGTGTGCACGTACAGCATGCGCGCCTCGTGCACGAGCCTCCTATTGAAGCTGTCGTTATGCTTTTGGCCAGAGGGGGCAATCGCGAGCATAAAAATTCAAAACTCCCTAAAGTCCCTTTAATCTAAAAATATTAAGGAAGAAGCAGCAGATTTCACGTTTTAAAGCAACTTCCTGATTACAAACCTCAGAGTTCAGCCTGAGCTGCAGCTCCTCCACAGAAGGTTTAGAGGGCCGAGTCCTCGTATCGGTGGACATCGTCGGGGGCGTCTCGGTCTCATGTTGGTGCTCGTGGCTGCATTAGAGAAGCACTCAAACGCTGCTGCCGACTCCACCAGAACACACACACATGCACACACCATCAGTCTGCCTGCATGTCGTTGGGATCAAAGGTTTGATGTGTGACGACGACGCTCCAGGAGGAATCTGCAGCTTTCACAACCCAAACCAGCAAAAAGGGACTTTAGAGTCGTGAAATCTTCCTGATCATCTAAAGGTTCCTGTTGGAAATCAGCTGGTGATTGGAATTGGCTGATATTCAGCATGATCGGTCTGATCTGTGATCGACCACCCAGACTCTTGTTTTCTTTAGCTTGTCTTTAGGTCCGTGAACACGCTTCGGCCAACCAGCCAAAGAAAACTTTTGTTGTTGAGCGCTAATTCATGTTAGCAACATCAAAGCCTCAGTAACAGTTTTCAATGTCGGAAAGCTGCATCATGCTGTAATCGGTATTGGCCCTTAAAACCAGCATCAGTGCATCTGTGAGGAGAACTCCTGAGAGGATCCTCTTCTGTTGCCATGCAAGTAAAAACAAGATCCACCCAGACAGCCTCATTTGGCTCCAGAACCAGGGATCCAGACCCCGATTAAACAGAATCCTGCAGGAAGTCGGCTGTTTAGCCCAGTCTGCTGATTGGTGGGGAGGTTTTTTATTCATTAATGTGGGAGGAGGTGTATGCTCCACCCCCTACTGCAGCTGCTTCCAGTGAGGACAATGCACCTTCTGTTCAAATCTTCATTTCAAAGCAGGAAGTGACATCATCAGCTCATCTTCCTGTATCTGTGCCAAATTCACTAATTAGTCAGAGATTTCCTGAGGCTGTTTATCCGTGTGTGTGTGTGTGTGTGTGTGTGTGTGTGTGTGTGTGTGTGTGTGTGTGTGTGTGTGTGTGTGTGTGTGTGTGTGTGTGTAAGTAAAGGGTAGACGGGCCTTGTGGGTAATTAATCCAGATACTCAGTCCACTGCAGCACCCATGGGTTGTTGCAAACACACACACTGACCTTTCCTGCTCTATTAAAAACACACACACACGCGCGCGCACACACACACACACACACACACACACGTTTTAAAATGTCAATACACCTTTCTTTGCCAAACGTTTTCATCGTTTCCAGCTGAAGTCGGATGCCGGTCGCCTCTTTAGCCAAACATCAGCTCTTCGGAGGTCTGGTTTACTGCCGTAAATGGGGAACAGGAACATTAACATTATATTCTAATCAAATCTCCAGTTTGTAACGCTGAGGCAGTTCATTGGCAGAAATGTGATCAAAGATTCAGATTTATTTGTTTTTGTTTTTTTCACTAAAGTAAGACGAGCAGCTTCTGTTTGTTTTTGTTTATTTACCCAAGAAAATAAAACATTTAACTGGAGAAAAACCTTAATGAGGATTATTTAACTCACCAAAAAAAAAGCTTGTGGTTCTTATATAGTTGTTATAATAATAAATTCACCAATAACAGGTTTTTAAAAGTGTTCCTGCATGGAAAAAGAACCTTGTGGAGGTTGTGTGTGTGTGTGTGTGTGTGTGTGTGTGTGGGGGGGGGGGGGGGGGGGGGGGGGGGGTGCATGCGTGCCTGTGTATATATATGTGTGTGTGTGTGGGGGGGTGGATGGGTGGGTTGGCGTGTGTGTGCGTGCGTGCCTGCGTATATATGTGTGTGTGTGTGCGTGCGTGCCTACGTATATATGTTTGTGTGCATGTGTGTGTATGTTAATGCGTGCATACGTGTGTGTGTTTGTGTGTGTGTGTGTGTGTGTGTGTGTGTGTGTGTGTACTCGTCTATAAATCAAAGTGAGAATAAACCTGAGGACTGGTTAGGCTTAGATGGGAGCATCCCTACTGTGGGTCAACGTTCTGCTCTAAACTTTGCATCGGACTTTGTGGTTTTTATTATTTGTGGACACTGGTGTGTGTTTAGCGAGCTTTTTTACCATGACTGCCTACCGGAGCGATGTTTATGCCAAACCCCTCCCCTGCGTAGTCAGGAACCAGCTACTCATCTCAACTCAACTTTATTTGTAAATTGCGCCTTACAGGCCAAAAGATGCCACCAAGGCGCTACGCAGATCAAGTAAAAAACATAAAACATTAAGTCCAAAAAATAAAAACATTGTATCACAAGATACAGATAAAAGTACAGTGAGTACACAGATTGCTATAAGTAAAACAATAAAACTAGTTAGAAAGATTAAAAGACAGATCATAAAAGTAGGTTTTTAGCCTTGCCTTAAAAACCGCAACCGAGGTGGAGGCCCTTATGCTGAGAGGGAGCTCATTCCAAAGATTAGGACCTGCCACGGCAAAGGCCCTATCACCACGTGTCTTTAGGCGCAATCTTGGGACCGAGAGGTTCTCCGAGCGGAGTGACCGTGGGGGGGTGTATGGTTGAGGCAGTGACACCAAGTAAGGAGGGGCCAAACCATTGAACGTTTTAAAAACCAATAAGAATGTTTTAAAACGAATCCTTACATCAATGGGCTGCCAATGAAGCGCAGCCAGTACAGGAGTAATGTGGTCATGCACCTGCCCTCTAAAAGTCTCTAGCTCTCAACTGTAGATAGATAGATAGATAGATAGATAGATAGATAGATAGATAGATAGATAGATAGATAGATAGATAGATAGATAGATAGATAGATAGATAGATACGTAGATAGATACGTAGATAGATAGATAGATAGATAGATAGATAGATAGATAGATAGATAGATAGATAGATAGATAGATAGATAGATACGTAGATAGATAGATAGATACGTAGATAGATAGATAGATACGTAGATAGATAGATAGATAGATAGATAGATAGATAGATAGATAGATAGATAGATAGATAGATAGATAGATAGATACGTAGATAGATAGATAGATACGTAGATAGATACGTAGATAGATACGTAGATAGATAGATAGATACGTAGATAGATAGATAGATACGTAGATAGATAGATAGATAGATACGTAGATAGATAGATAGATAGATACGTAGATAGATAGATACGTAGATAGATAGATACGTAGATAGATAGATACGTAGATAGATAGATACGTAGATACGTAGATAGATAGATAGATACGTAGATAGATAGATACGTAGATAGATAGATACGTAGATAGATAGATAGATACGTAGATAGATAGATACGTAGATAGATACGTAGATAGATACGTAGATAGATACGTAGATAGATACGTAGATAGATACGTAGATAGATACGTAGATAGATACGTAGATAGATAGATAGATAGATAGATGATAGATAGATAGATAGATACGTAGATAGATAGATACGTAGATACGTAGATAGATAGATAGATACGTAGATAGATAGATAGATAGATAGATAGATAGATAGATAGATAGATAGATGATAGATAGATAGATAGATGGATGGATGGATACTTTTATGTTTTTACTGATAAATAACTTCCAAAATGGCTGAATTGTCTAAATAGAAAAAAAATCTTGATTTTGCAAAATCCAAATCATGATTTTTTCCATATTGCCCACTCCTTTAACTGACATCATTTCTGCACCCAGAGGAGGACAGTGAGTCCATCTCAGTGTGTGTGTGTGTTTGCGTGCGTGCGTGTGTGCGTGCGTGTGTGTGTGTGTGTGTGTGTGTGTGTGTGCATTTCTCAGATGTGTGGGAGGGCAGATAATGGAGCATGAGCTCCCTGTAGGTTGAGGTTTGTGGGGAATGTAGTCCGAGGCCGTGCGCAGGTAGATCATGTGATCCATTCAGGTGTTGATGGAACTTCCTGTTACATTTTCTGTAACAGAACCAGAACTGGAGTAGCACACTGGTGTTGTGTAGAAATCTGCTCCCGCCGATCCTAAACCAGTATGCTCTCTAAGCCGATTACTCTTGGCCTCCTGCAGGTTTTTGTCAGTGATCTTGTCATAAGTTCAGTCTCAGCGCTCCTCGCTGTTGTTCTGCTGGTGGAGCGGCACAGATGCTGCTGTCAGCGTGTTCCACAGCAGTGACCTTCAACCCTCGGGTTCTGCAGCAGCCAACAGGTGTGTGTGTGTGTGTGTGTGTGTGTATAACTCTGGTTATGGCAGATTATTGAACTTTGTATTTATAGATGATGAATAAAGCTCCACATGAGGAACTCGATGTGTCTCTGATGGTTTTTGTGTCCATGTTTGTTTGCAGGATGTTCAACCAGCTGATTTTTATTGTAAGGAGAACGTTTGCTGTTCTTCTTCATCTCCTCTTCCTCTCTAACGGTTACACACAGGAGCGTCTCCTCCTGAACGTTGAAGTGAAAAAGTTCTGCTGACTTCAACTTCCTCTCTTTCCTTTTCTTTTCCTCCATTCTTCTTCTGTTCTTCTCATTTCGG